GTCGGCGGTCACCGGTATGGTGGCCGAGGTCGGCACAGACTCTCCCGTCTGCTGACCTGTCTGTCGTCTGTCTGTGTCAGGTCTGGCCCGCTGTCGGCGGTCACCGGTATGGTGGCCGAGGTCGGCACAGACTCGGGCGTGCTGCTGTTCGTCACGCCGGCCGGCTGTCGCGAGCGGTGCGCGCTGGGCCGGGCGGCCGTGCAGCCAGACGGCGCGCCACTGCCGGCCGCCGAGCCCATCTCAAACCACCTGGACGTGGGCGACACGGTGGTGTTTGACTGCCGACCCACCACAACCGCTGCCAACTGCCACTGGCTGGCCGATAAGGTAAGGCGCCCGCCGCACAGCTCACCCTGACTGACCTCCCCCTCCCAAACCGCTCTGCTTCCCTCCCCGGGGCTAACTTCGGCCACTGGCTGGCCTAACAGGTACGGCGACCGCCGCACAGCACACCCTGACTGACCCGTTTCCTCCTAGATAAACCACGACCAACCACCCTGCTCCCAGACCTCTGATTTTATTCCCGAGCATGACTGCGGCCAGTGAATTACCGTGACCGGTCTGGCTCTGGCCTGCACCTTGTACACTTCTTGTTTCGCTCCTTGACCGACCGCAGCCTCTGGCTAGCTGAAGAGCTAATATGGTACCGATAGAATATTGTCTTGGCCGTAACAATCACTGACTCACGCTGTTTGACTGAGCTGCTTCCGAGTAAGCTCCTGTGGTTTCCTGGCTGGCAATGCGATGTGTTCTCCGGTTCCCAGCGTGTGTCTGATTCTGGCCGTTCTGTCCAAGATGAGCTTACTCAGTTCCGTTCCTCCCTCGGCTGGTTGTTGTTTCTGTGTGAGCTCGGACCGGTTCTGACCGTTGCTCTCCCTCCCTGTCAGGTGTGGTTCCCTGCCGCCTCGGAGGACTCCTACTATGAGGACGAGGACTGTGAACTGCCGGGCGGCGAGCGCGGCGAGTTTATCTTACGCACTACGCTCAAGGCGATTGTCGGCCGCGTCGACTTGGTAGTAAATTACAAGGCGGTGCTGACTTTCGACTACCACGGCCAGCGGGAGCGCGCCCTCCTGCTCACCGGCAAATACACATTCCCCGAGAAGGCGACGGCAGCCGAGCGGCGTGACCTGACCAAGGTGCTGAGCCGCGGCGACCAGGTTCGCTTCACGTGCCACGAGTACGACAAGCCGAACGGCACTGACCGCTGCGGCTGGTGGGTGATGGAGGCCGTCCGGCTGGAGACGACGCAGCAGGTCGGCAGGGAGGCCGGCTACTCGCAGAGCGGACACCTCTACGAAAAGATCGGCACCGTCAAGGACGTACTGGCCGCAGAGGGCCTGCTGCACTTTGTGCTGGCCGGCCGCCGCGAGGTGGCCTGGTTCTCCGACGAGGAGGTGTTCATTAACGGCCGTCCGTGCGCTGGGCGGCTCTCGGACACACTGGAGTCCGGTCAGCGGGTGCACTTTAACGCGGTGCCCGGCTCGGCGCCGCGCGGGGCCGACTGGCGCTGCACATGCGTCTGGCGCGGCGAAATGCCCACCGTTGAGGCCAGCCAGAAGCGCACGGAGGCCTCCGTCGTTAAGAAACAGAAGAAATCCAAGTCGGCCAAGTCGCGTATCGATGACCTGGACGACTTTGAGCTGCCGGCGGCGCCGCCCAGTGCCGGCGGGGACGGCTGGGCGGTACCGATGGCTACGGGGACCGTACCACCGCTCATGGCCAGGCCCCACCTGGGCGGCGGCGACCGCGGCCCTCGCGCCGACAAACAGACGCCCAGACTGCGCGCCTCCATGGTGGCCGAGCTGGACGCGTTCGATACGGGTATGGACGGCGGCGCGGGCGGCGGCAGTGACGCCGGCGCCGGGGCGGACTGGATGGCGGCCGTGGACGGTAACGCCGAGTGGGACGAGGAGGTGGAACCGGACGACGACGGTGACGAGCTGCTGGGCCGGGCGGCGCCGGCCGGGTCGGCCAGCTCCGGTCCGTCTCGGCCGCTCAGCGAAGCCTCGCCGGAGCAGCCCGGGCCCGTGTCGAGCCCGAGCCGGGCGGCGCGCCCGAGCGCGGCCGACCCGGCCCGGCCGCCGCTGCTGCCGGACCCGGAGCCGCGGCGGTCGCCGCTGCTCCCCACGCCCGACCCGCTGGCCTCGTGGTCCCCTGCCGGCCTCCCGCACGGCACCCCCGCGTCAGCGGCGCGCGCGCAGGGACGCTCGCCGCCGGGCCTGTCGGCGCCGCGGCCGGCCAACCCGCCCGGTCTGTCTCCAGCGGCGCTGGCCGCCGCGGCCTCGGCCAACTACAGCCGGCAGCAGGCGGCGGCCTCGTCCTCGCTGCTGGGCACCCCGCCGGTGCCGCACAGGGACGGCCTGCTGCCGGCGCCGCCGCTGCCCCCCGCCTTCTACGGGTACCCGGCCGGGCAGCCGGCCTACTGGCCGCCCGGCCTGGCGCTGGGCCACCCGCACCTGGCGCACCAGCCGTTGGCGCCTCAGCAGCTGCTGTTCGGCGGCCGGCTGCCGCCCCCGGCCATGGCGCCGCTCTCGGTCGACCAGGAGAGCCTGGAGCGGATGGTGCGCGGTGGTCCGCTGCCGACCTCCGCCGTGCCGCCGGCGCCCAGCGCGCAGCAGAAGCGCTCGGTGCCGGACGCCGACTGGGAGGCGGCCGCCGCCGCCTTCAAGGTGGACCCGGCGCCGGCGCCGCCACCGCCGCCGCCGGCCCCGGCGCAGCAGCCAGAGAGCTCGCCGACGCTGGAGAGTCTGGAGCTGCGGCACGGCGCTGCGGGCGGGCTCCCAGGCCAGGCGCCGGGACTGGACTCTGTGTCGGACCGGCTGGCGGCCGTCCAGCTCGGGGACGACGTGCAGCGCTCGGAGAGCGGCACGGAGGGCAGCCTGGACGACGAGCTGGACCGGCTGGAGACGGGGCCGGCCGACGGCGGCGACCGGTCACCGCCGCCGCCCGTCGAACCAGTGTCAGGTGAGATCGGACACGGCGCCCGGCCGGCAGAGGGCGGGCTGCTCTGTGAGGGTAGACAGGCTCAGCTGGAGGGTCTGGCACAACTCATTTTTTTCTGTTCGTTCGTGTGTTGATTGTTTACTGTTGATTGGATTGCTTTCTCTCACATAATGAGGATTAACATCGTATAATGTTGCCAGTTATGTGATGGTGCTATTCTTCAAGGTTCTTTAGTGTTGAACTGATGTATTTCCTGATCAAAGATGAACTTCTAATGCAAGGCCAACACTAATGCTCGGTTCTTAGTTTTATTCCGTCCCGCTGAAGTGATCACTTCATGGTGGTTCCTGCCCGTTGGTCTAACCTCCGTCACGTTTGGCTCTTCCCCAGGGAAGGGCCAGATCCTGGCGTTCGTGGACGAGTCGCAGGGTCTGGCCGAGTGGGACCACGACGGCACCATCGAGCAGGTGATGTTCGACCGCGCCGTCTGCTACTGGCTCGGCGCGCGCATGGACACGCTCGACCTCACCGACTGCTACACGCCCGGTGAGTGCAGGAGTGGGTGCCGCTTAGCGGTGTGTGTGGCGGTTAGTGTTTCAGCGAGTGTGGTGAGTTAAGTGGTGAGTGTAGAAGTGGGTGTAGTGCAGTGATGTAACTTCTAGGGTAGCTGCAGCTGGTGATGCAGTAAATGTAGCAGTGAGTGCAGAAGTTAATGTTGGTGTACCTAGCAGTGGGTTTAGCAGTGGTTCTGGAATGTATGAGCGGACGTGTCACCCAGTGTCTCAGTGAGTGTGCGTGAAGTTTAGCAGTGGTGTAACACTGAAGGAAGCGGTGAGTGTGTAACAGTGGGTGTAGCGATTGGCCGCTGAGTTTGGCTGGGCGCCCAGGAGCAGGACCCCGTTTGGACGGCCGGCCTGGCGCGCCGAGCACAAACACCTAGTATGGGATGGGCCGGGTCACGAGTGTTCGGTAGTGTCGGCGCTATGAGCGGCGCCTGCTGACGGGTCGCCCTGCGGCGGCCCCGCTGATCGATCAGGGCTCACTGCAGGGCGGCAAATGGCGCAGTTGGTCTCCACCCCACCGCAACCCTGCCCTCAGCCGGCTCGGCAGGGTGTCCGGTCATCAGGGCGCTGCGCGGTAGGCCAGGGTCGGCTCCAGCGTCAGAGACCCTCCCCGTCCCTGGTCCGGCAGCCGAGCGGTCTGATACGCTCTGCGTGTCCGTCCTCGGACCCGACGTGTCGTTCATGCGATCTGATAATTTTTCTCCTCAGGAGCCGACGTGTCGTTTGAGGGATCACACTGACCCCAGTGTTTGTTCTCCCTCAGGAGCCGACGTGTCGTTCGAGCGGTCTCACTGACGCCCTGTGTAATTGTCCTGCCCCAGGAGCAGATGTGTCGTTCCGAGCGACCAGGCTGACCCCAGTGTTTGCCCTCCCTCAGGAGCCTACGTGTCGTTCGAGGGACCAGGCTGACCCTAGTGTTTGTTCTCCCCCAGTAGCGGACGTGTCGTTCGACGGACCAGGCTGACCCTGTGTATTTGTCCTCCCTCAGGAGCAGACGTGTCGTTCGAGTGGTCTCACTGACGCCCTGTGTAATTGTCCTGCCCCAGGAGCCGACGTGTCGTTCGAGCGGTCTCACTGACGCCCTGTCAGTGAGACCATTGTCCTCCCCCAGGAGCAGATGTGTCGTTCGAGGGACCAGGCTGACCGTGTATTTGTCCTCCCTCAGGAGCGGACGTGTCGTTCGAGTGTATACCGGCCGGCCCGGGCGAGCCATATCAGTGGGTGGCCACGCACTTCGAGCAGATCGAAGACTAGTCGGTCCGCCAGCGGTGCGACAAAAAGACGCAATTGAGAGCGGGAAAGTGGCTGTGAATGGTGGCCATCGTGTGTGCATTCCGTGTTCGGGCCGAGGCGCCCTGTGAGATGAGCTATTCCAGCATGGCAGGTCCAGTCCAGGACGACCATGACCAATATATGCAGTGATCACCAGTTACGCTGTCTCTGTGTGTACGATGGCCGCCGGACGTCCTCTGCGCGGAGTGAGAGCCAGTATTTACTGTGTTCCTCCGTGTATTTCTGGGTGCCCGGTGAAAACACACATATACATACATATACGTACACCATATACACACACAATGCGCGGCGGCACACGGCCGCCCGCGGAGCGGCCGGGCGCGCGGCTGCTGGGTCGGTACTTCAGTCTCTGACGGCGGCGGCGGCGGTACGCGTCCGGTTGTTCCGCGCAGATCACGTATAAAACGACTATGTACAGATGAATATGAGGCGCGTATAGGGATTGCGCGGTCAGGACCCGGAATAGGACAGGACAACGCAAGGAGATAGGAGCCAGGGGCGCCGACGAGATTGCTGGTTAGTCACTTTAGTAGAAACACTAATTCAGATACAAGTGTTGCCTGGCAGTTGTTCCTTGCACGGGCTGGTACTGATGCAAAGCTGGGGTAATTCAATGGCTGTTCAAAATGAGAAGACTGTTACCACTGTTGACCAACAAACGCGAAGGGAAACCACGCTGAGATGGTAGTATCATTGTGACCATTGATGGTATCTTCCATGCGCCAGTGCGCGACCCCCGGAGAGACTGCCACCCGGTTGGACCGAGTTAGCACCCCGGGATCCAGTGGTGGTTTCGGCGCCGGACGCCGCCACTCTGGCCCTTCGAACGTCCTTACTTCAGCGGAGATGCGAGCTCGACACCAAACAGTGCAAGTGCGAAATCCAGGGCACCTCACACTTAGTACGTCTGACATGCAGTGCTTCGTAGCCTGACGCTACGTAGATCTGTATGTCAGGTACAAACTATGGGTGCCCTGCACCTCACAGTAACAGGTATTCACGTTCCAACCTCGCATCTCCATCAAAGTAACATCCGACGCCGACAGGACCAAAGAAGCGGCGTCAGGGGTCGAGAGCGCTATTCCGATCCGCCCTAGACCGGCGGAAACTCGCGTCCCGCTCAGGACGCTCTGTTACCTCTGAGGGTCACGCCGTCAGATATTGCAGAACGTCCCAAGTCACATCCGGATGTCCGCCGGTACACGCAGCAGCGAGGAAGACGTCTCAAAAACGTCCACATCAATCGCCAGTGGTTAAAACTACTTCGAGTCATCCCGTCAACAGTAGCAAATCCGATCCCCGTTTGAACAGCCATGACATGACGTCCCAAACGTAACAGGTTGCGACTTTTTCAGACCGCATTAACGAGACTGAATGAATGCCGAGAACTGGTTTACAATATGTTATCACGGTGCATACTATCCCCAATAATGCGCGGGCCTATACAAACAGCGAACAGCACAATTTTTAAACGCTCAAAGACCTATTTAGGTAAGTCCTCTAATCCATCGGAGAAACCGCGCTGCTAGAAGGATCAAGGCCAGTTGCATGGTACATTTTCGTTGACACTGATACGGGCACGCGTCAGTCGACGGGGGTCGGCCCGCGGGGGCGCTGGACGAGCCGACCGCTGGGTTCGGACGGTCAGTGGACTGCGGCTCGCGGCGCGACCAGCGGGACAGGAGGCAGGGACGGTCAGGGCACGCGGAGAGGGGAGACGGGGAACCGACGGCCAGACACGGGGAGAACCACCACCGGCCGCCAGCGGCACCCGGGGACAGACAGCGGGGCACGTACTTATACACTGCGGAATGTGACACGCTCCAACCTACAAAAATAGCCGCGCCCGCTCTACGATCTGTTAGCGCGGTGGCAAGCTGGCGCCGGGCCGTGCGAGCTGCTGCGTCCGGGCGGCGCGCGCGTCCCTGACGCGGCGGCCTAGTAGCGACAGGTGGGGCTCGACTCACAGCTAGCTGGAGGCGGCGCCGCGCCGGCCCGCTCAGTGCGGGCCCCTGGTTAAGCCGGATGAAAGACTAGATCATGCACAAACATAACAGATCCCGGATTAAACGAAACACTTATTGCCTGTCTCAGTACGCCACGGTCGCGGATTGTCTTTGGTATGCACTTAAAGTGAAAGAATGACGCGCGCAAATTGGTTGAAAGCCGACAAATCGCGGACAACAGAAAACTGAACTGTCTACACGAACGGTCGCACCTGCGCGGCAAAACAGCCTGATTCTACGCCTAAAGCGAACACAAATCACCAACAATCACACCACGGGCGGCCGGCGCGGAGAGCGAGCCCGGCCGGCCGGCATTGCCACCTGTCCATAAGTACAAGGAGTGAAGCTTCGAGAGATCGGCGCGGAGTGGCGCTCGGGGGGCGCGGCCGGCGGGTGGCCCGGGCCGGCCGGACCCGGCGGGCCGGCGGCGGCGGCGGCGGCGCAGAGATCAGGGGCCCGGCGGACCCGGCGGCCGTCATTCCCAGCCGTTGTCCTTGATCATGTGCGCCAGCTCGATGATAAACTTGCCCTCCTTGTACTTTTGGCTGGTCTCGAACGCTTGCTCCTGCAACAGGTGGACGGTGAGTCATGCTCCGCTCCAAGCCCTGAGGGGTCACGCTTCGACCGTTGCTTCGCCGAGAGCTATCCATCGCCTTTGTTAGCAGTCACACGGCATATGGTGTCAGGGTACACCACACTCAATACGGGGCACAACGTATACGCTGTACAACACGCGGTACATGGCAGCACTGCATTAGAGTACTCCGCACAAGCCACACGCCACAGGGACAGAGCCAGGCGTTCGGGCAGAGTCGGGTCACCCCGGGTCGCCTTTGTCCTCCACACACGCACCCACGCACCCCTCCCTGCCCCCCTCCCCTCACACAGCCGCTCGACGTCGGTCGCACCGGACGGCAGAGAGACTGCGTGGACACACAGCCTGCGGGCATTGATCGGACTCACTGCGCTGCAAAACAGAGGCCGCCGGCCGCCGACCGAGCCGGCTCCCGGCGACAGAGACGCAGACGGGGGTGCGTCAGTGTCCCGCCACCGGGCGGTGCCGGAGCGGCCAGGACCTCCCCACCGACAGCAGGAGGGGACCAACGCACGGACACGGCACACAACATGCTGACTGGCACGTCAGTGAGCCAACAGACAAACAGGGTGGGGGAGCGGGAGCCGACTCACTAACCACACACGCCGCCAGGAGCTGGACAAAGAGCGGTACAGGACACCGGCAGCTGCTACCGCCGCGCCTGCCCAACCTCTCGCCACAACACCGTTCGGCGCAGCTGCAACGGGACCAACCACCCCCCCCCCACACACACACACACGCACACACCGAAAAACCACTGCCCTCCAATCAGTCCCGCTCGGCCGGCCGACACTCACGTATTTCCAGCCGAGGTTTGTCTTGCAGCACTCGCAGAAGATGTCGGCCACGGCGTGCAGACCGGTGAGCAGCACGCGCCGCTCGGCCTGGCCGCAGCTCACGTTCACCCTGAGGACGGACGGGACAGGGAGGTCACAGCACCGGTCACCGCACAGATCCGACACACAGCACACTGAGGCAGGGCACAGGGTAGCGCGGAGGGACAGTTTTCAAACAGGTGGCACTGGATACAGAGCTGATAAGGACTGGGAGGGAGAGCATCAAATGACCCTATCCTTATGATGTCATCACAAACAATGAATTGAAAGGCGTGACGTAATGCACTATACTCTGAATGCCATTTGTTGAGGAATAAAGCCGCAACTCTTGGCAAGTTCACACAAAATACTGGCCTCCAACCACATCGTACAAAACAATGGCCTCCACCATGGCCTATCGCTGCAGTGCAGTCGGCGTCCGCTGCTGACTCAGAGAGGTTCAATACAAGTGGCGCATTCGTGGCCGGGCGTCGGCAAAACCTCCAGGCCTGGGGCGGAGCAGTGATTAGTACTGACTCTCCAGCGCTCGGCGGCAGCACGGAGTATCGGTGCCGGGGAACGGCGGAGCGACGGAGTCTCGGAACCGGGGAGCGGCGGCGGAGCTGGGGAAGCCACAGCGTTAGGTCACAAAACCTCGGCGATCGCCAGTTCTGGCCCGGTGCCGACCGCTCCTTCCTGCTGATGTAACTCTCCGATCAATACTGATGACGGCTGGATGCGACCGAGAGCCGCCCCCGCCGCCGCCGCCGCCGCCGCCCGGACGGGACGGAGGCAGGCCGAGAGGTTACAGATCAATACAGCAATGTCAACCGGTACCGAGAGGCGAAGGGCAGGCGGTCGCCGGCCATAGCGCAATCTCAAACCCAGCCCGTCTGTCTCCCTCCTTCTCATTCTCCTCCTCTATATACCTCCCTCCCTCCCTTCTCTTTCTCTTCTCCTTTCTTCCTTCGACCCTCCCTGATCTCCCACACAATTTTGACTTCCGTACAATCACCAGATGGCCCGAGCAGCGTAACGATGACCTCCAATGGTCTGCTCGCTGCTGGAATCGGCTGAATAATGCGCTCGAGATGATGAATTCTACATGCTACGGCGCATATCAAAGCGTTCTCGTTAGCCAGGATTCATGCATGATCAATCGCATGGGCCGTTTGTGCGCTTAGGAACACTGCTGCATGACAATGGCGCCGCTGGGAGGTTTCTGAACACAAATGTTTCCCCTCTGCCCCTCAAGGGCCAGCAGGCTGTCCGGCAACCAGTGGGGTCAGCTGAACAGACTGTGAAAGAGACACTGCAAGACAGCGCCTGCAGCAACGCCGTCGGAGGAATGACTCAAGCGTGGATGTTGAGTACAATGGAAATAGGGATATTTGGGAAGAGCGAATTGTGGCTGAAACTGAAACGAAGAGAGCTACATCATTGCTTCCACGGATCAAACGGGATGCCAGCGGCCCCAAAAGGGACGGCTCGGTTCTGCGCGCCCACTGAGCGGCGATGTTTGTGCGGCGTCACCCGCCGAGTGGGTGGGGATCGCTGGCGGCCGCCCGGGTGGTGGCACGTGCGCGGCGTGCTCCACCGTCTGCCGCCTGATCCCCCGCCAGGAACAACACACCGGCCACCGGCTCCAAACACACAGCCGGCTGAGGTCGGTGGCCCGGCCGGCAGGGGGCGCTGCCCGAGCGCGGTGGCAACCGGCACCGGACCGGCCCGCAGAGGGCAGCACCGGAACGGCCGCGGCTGAGGGGTAGTCGGTGGGGCGGCGGTACGGTCCCACTCCCAGCTGGGCCTGAGTCACCGTCGCGGCCGCGTGGTGACAGCACACGTGCCCGCCACGGACTGAGGCGGACCCCAGAGGCCGCCAACAGCCGTCCCCCAGTACTTACACAGAGTTGAACAGGTAGGCGCGGCCCTGGCTTCCCTGGAACGACTGAAACACGAGAGAAGGGGGTCAGACTACATGGCATACGGCACGGTTCGCGGTCCACACACATAGTACGTGCGAGGGCGCCAAAATAACACAGCGATAAGAAACTCGATAACAAAGGCTCGACATTTCATAGCTACAAAGGCAGTATCCGGCAAAAACTTTTGATGACGGTTCCGCAACACTGCGGCAGTGCCCTGATGATATCCACACACATAGTACGTGCGAGGGCGCCAAAATAACACAGCGATAAGAAACTCGATAACAAAGGCTCGACATTTCATAGCTACAAAGGCAGTATCCGGCAAAAACTTTTGATGACGGTTCCGCAACACTGCGGCAGTGCCCTGATGATACGGTGCAAAACAGGTCAGCCCCAGCACGAACTAGTCCTCCCGTTCCCTTCATTTATATCCAGCACGGCCGTAGTACCTGCACCGGTCTCCCAACACCCAGAAAGGCACAGCCGATCCCACTCGGTTCCGGCTACCGCCTCTGCCAATCCCCCGACCAGCATGTCCCCGCCGCCCGACGGACAAAGGCGACTCAAACCTACCGCTGAGCGGCAACAAAATCACACGGCCGACAGCCGTCAGCGATTTACCGCGCAATTTTCGGTTTATGGTTGCCTCGAAAGGCGGACAAAGAAGTTCGCGAGCTGCGGGTCAGAGAGCTTCGCAGAACCCGAAGCGGTCTAACGACGAAAGGCCCGGGGCCGGGGCGGCCGGTCACAATCAGCAGTAGGCCGTGCAGTTTTACTGATTCGCGGGCCGCTCGTCGGAGCGATTTCGACCGTGTCGTCACCTCCCAGGTAAACATAACGTGGAACGTTTGGCCAGCAGCAAAAAATAAACATCTCCCGTCACAATTTAGGTCATGAAGTCAAGCGCTGTTTACGACTGTTTTGCTTTGAGATCAAACACATGCACGTCCAAGGCGTGAGCTCAGCGCTCGCCCATCGTCCACTTGGCTCTCTGACCCGCAGCTCAACTGGCCGGCCCCGTAATCGCCTTTAGCCCGCCGAGTCGCCGGCACGGGCTGCAAGCCCGCCGCGCCGGCCGGCCGGTCGGCCCGCTCACCTTGGATATGAGCTCGTCGTGGTTGGCCAGGTGCGCGCGGCAGTGGATGCACGAGTAGGTGCGATGGCAGCTGGGCAGGTACGCCTGGAACGTCTTCATTCTGACCATGGTCCGGCGCGCGGCCGGCTCGCTGCGGTCAAGTGCGCACGACGTCGGTCGGCCGCACGCTCCGACCACCCATTCACACGGGTTGCACGTGCTGCAGCAAAGGTGGTCACCGGGGGCTGTCAGCGGCCGGCGCAGCCAGCGCGGTGGGGCGTCCGTCCTCGGCCGCCAGCAGCACAACACTGCCGAGCGGCGGAGACGGCGGCGGCGGCCGGGACGGAGCGGCGCAGCGCGCACCGATCAGCTGACGGCGGCGCCGCGCCGCTCCGCCCCCGACCGTCGCGCGGCGCCCGCAGCCGACGACCGAGCCCGCACCGAGGGAGGGAGGCAGCTCCGGCACTGGCGCAGCCCCGCATCCCGGAACACACCCACATAGCGGACAACTGATGCCCGTACCCTGGAGCACACCACACCCACTTTGAACAGCTGAGCTATGCACCCTGACACACACACACAGCGAATAGGGCCAAGGCGAACCGTTTACCGCAGTGGGACAAAAATCAAACGGGAGGAGAGACAGACAATGAAGGACACTTTCAGTGCGGCACTTCAGGATGACGAATGGCATAAATACGCCGGTGCAACTGCAGACACGGGTAGAAGAAGAAGAAGAAAAAAAGATCAATGAAGAAAGCCGAGCAATGGTTGCTTCCAGGCAGGAGCAACTTAACTCTGACTTAACTAACTTGCTTTACCTACATAAAGGAGTAGCAAATGGTAGAGTTTAGAAACAATCATGGGTAAAATAGGGTGTGCTCACTGTGTGCACTGTGCTCTCTAGTTGCTGTCTGCTTTCTGTATCTGATATTTGTTCGACATAAAAATCGTAGCTTTGGCAGGCCTAGCCCATCCCTTTCAAACGAGCGGACGATGAATGGTACATGTCAAAGTTGCAGCCCAGCTTCTCCGTGCCGCTGGACAGAGAGCAGTCGTCGTCAGCGGGGCGAGGCGGCAGAGTGGAGGCATGGTTCGAGGGTCGGAGGAACCGATCAACGGCCGTCAGTCCGGTCGAGGAATGAGGGGATCTTGGGAGGGACGGCAGTTCGACATTGGAGATGTGCAGGGGGCAGCCGACCGGACTACCCCAAAGAGAACGACTGGGGAGTGTGAGCCACGGCGGTGAGAGCACGAGAGCAGGCTCAGTGCGCTGCGGCGCACAGGCCGAGCTGCCGACCGCTGACGACTGACGCAACCGTCGAGTACGACGCAGTGAGTGCCGGCGGCCGTTCATGGGCAGCCGCGGCCGACCGTCCATCAGAATCCCTCTCCGGGGCACGAGCTGCGCCGTCAGCGCCGCCTCTGATTGCGACATCACGGTACGTGAAGGTCGACCGCCAATACAGCCGGTAAATGATGCAACTTCGCCGCGGTCGGTCGTCCAAAGAGCATTTGTGTCAGCGATCTGCAGATCACTTAACCAGCGATATATGAAGCGAAATTATTTACTTTATCTACCGTGGGTATACCTAGGCGATAATCTTCAGGTCCGGAACCATCATTAGTTTTCATAGTTTTCATTCACCCAAATATTTTAAGTTGCACATGGGCTAGTATGAGTCGGTAAAAAAAAAACTATAGGTATGGTTTAGGAAGCTGAAAAGTTATTGCATGTACTGCGTGGAACAGGAACATCGCTGACACGCATCAAACGTCCTTATACGAGCAGTCTTGTCGATTTTATTAGGAGTAATAGTCGCCCTTGACAAACATTCATAGCTCGTGTAGGCTAGATCCTCTGAATTCCAAGAAGGAACGCAATAAGGCTCCGCGCCAGTAGCACGTCATTCGAGCTGGCGAGTTTTGGTAGTCGTGCAGCAAGAATTCTCATCAGATCTACGCAGCGGTCGTGACAGCGCCGGCAGGACTAGAACTCACTCGCAGTTCCCGCGACGCAGCAGCGCCACCGGGGCGCCGAGCGCCAGGAGCTCAAAAGCTAATATCAATATTATTCGGCTCCAGGTCGGCTGTTTGGCAGGGGTGCGGAGAGCGCCCGATCACACCAGCTCCCATCGCACGCGTCGTAAGCACGCTTCGCCACGTGACACAATAACATTTCGGACACGATCTTCACCGATAGCGAGCTCCAACGTAAATGTTTATCAGCCATCAACTGCGTCGCCCTCTAGCAGCCTTGACTGGAGCGGGTCAACGGTCGCAACAGTTGCCACAGCCGACTGATTTAGCTTCATGGTGGCAGCGGCGCGGCCGTTGGCGTCGCAACCGCCGACGGCGCGCTGCGGCGCAGCTGGTGTCGGCCGGCCCGACACCGGGCGCCGGAACGGTCTGACGCCGGCCGGACACCGGTCTGATCTGAACCAGGGAGGACACCGGTCCGACACCGAGCGGACACCGGAACGGTCCGACACCGGCCGGACACCGGTCTGACACCGAGTGGACACCGCGCAGACACCAGTCTGACACCGGGCGAACACCGGTCTGATCTGAACCAGGGAGGACACCGGGTGAACACTGGCCGGACACCGGTCTGACACCGGGCGGACACCGGAACGGTCTGACACCGGGAGCGGACACCGGAGCGGTCTGACACCGGGAGCGGACCGTGATCAGACCAGGCGGGCACCAGGCGGACACCGGACAGCTACCGCGCGGATACCAGACGGACACCGAGAGCGACCGGTCGGCGCGACACGATCTCGCCTGCTGATCTGGGCTGACACCCAGTACCCCACCTGGGTCACCGTGCCGGGTCATAAGGTCGGCTGACAACTGAAGCCGCCAGGGACGCCGTATCGTCGTGCCGGGTCAGCATGTCAGCTGAGTGCTGACCAACTGAGGCCGTCAGGGACGCCGTATCATACCAGCCAGCAGGAGACCCCGTCTATTGCCAGTCCCGTGTAATGACAGCATTACTTTAGCACTGCGATGCTGCATTCTTTCTCGTCTACATTGTGACGATGGAGACGTGGAGATGGAGAGGACGACAGGTCATACCGTGACACGATTCCGCTCCGGTTGGCTGCAGCATAGGCGTCGCCAGAGATTTTCGGTTGGGGGGGCAAAATCAACTTTGGTGTCAAAACTTGCCTTTCCCCAGTCTTTACTCACTCGTTTTACATATCATTCGACGCGCAATGGTGCGAGGAATCCGATGGTGAAAAAAGTTTCCTTCTAGCTATGACATGTAATTCTTTACAGTAAAAAATCGAAATTTTGAAATTTAATAACAATACGACTGGTAGAATTATAGTGGCTGCGATTGCCGACGCACTGCACAGGGTCCCTGTGCAGACGCTCGGCGCTCATGATCATTACCCATTAAAGGGACCATCCCACCTTAACATTAGTTTTGAGTTGAGATAGCCAAGTTTGCGGCCAGGCTCAGAAACCACCATTTATCCTGGTCGCAACCCCCGCAGCTTTATGGTGTTCAAGAAATTTCTTCCCTTTACTTGCAGGGTGGGACCAGCTTAGTCCCTATCTCTTAACCATTAGCGGTTTTTTGATGACGTCAGCAGTCATTTCAACGCCCGCCATTCCTTGAACCCGAGTTTTGCTGACCTTGAGCTCCCTTTTTTATCAACGTGAAATCCGTCGTCGGCGCTGAGAAAGCCTATTGCTTTTCATTTTAATTTGAATATTAGAAGATACCCACCACTGGAACTTGGACTGATATTATACCAAGGCCGAAGATGATCAAGCTGCCTGCTATATCTGGAGCTTGGTGTTCAACTTCAACATGGAATAAAAAACAAAATATCAAAGCAAACTGGATATGGTACTGCAAGTTGAAGTCCAAAGAAATTTGAAGAGCTGACAATTGACATTAATTCTTTTCCTGCAAGGTTTCCACATGGAGATCACAGTCACACCATGAAGAAATATTTTTGATGTTAACAGTTGAAAGGGGATTTATCTTCCAGTTTTGACGAAAGACGCTGCTGACTGTCTTTGGAAAAGGATGTCGGCATGAGGTGCAATTGTGCTTGTGAAGTGGTTATAACTGGTCTTTTCACAGTATTAAATTAAATGTGCCATTGCAGCTAAGTGTGTTATCATGTAAGGTAAAATCAAAACTACAATGTTGGTTTTACGAGCATTGAGAAGGCTGGTAGGTAACACCTCCCTGTGCTCGTAAATCATGCTGCCAGAGTATTCTAAATTAATTTTATCATACACTTTTGTTGTCCAGAATGGTTGCACTATTGTTTGGTATCATATTATTCCATGTAAATATTGTAGTGTAAAGTCCGACCAACATGTTACCAGATTTGAAGCTGTTACGTTACCTAAGTACCTGTTTTTTACTGGCGTGGTGAATGTCACCTGGATTTTGTTTTGAGGTGCAGACCTAGTAACTCTGACTACATGGGTTTGAAGCTATTATCTATTCTGTTTTTACTGGCCTGGTGAATGGCGACTGATGTTGTCCGTGGATGGCACTGAAACAAATTTTGAGTGTTTTGTACAGTGTTTTAATACAATGCTGAGGGCTGAAAGTTGTCTTGTTTAGAGTGGTGAAAGTTCAGGATATGCCAGCCACCATGGTGGGTCAGAGTTAAATGTGTTGCAGTCAGTTCGGCTTCGGCAAGCACACGGATGGGCATACGCATCAAGACCTGCTCTGCCATACTTTCAGCCAATTTTACCTAGGTAAGTCTTTTCTTTTTTCTGCCAAAAGCTATGACATTGTGAATTTCAGCACTGTGGCCTGTGTGTAGCTTTCAGGAAAGCAATTCTAAATAAAGCTCTGATAAAGTGCAAAATCAGCAATGCAGCCCTCTATTACATTTTCTACAACATCTTACTTGTTCCTTGCATGGAGAGAAAAATGCAATGTTATGAATTCGTTTATTCACATAATTTGACAAGCATGCAGTTACCTGCTACTATCACTGCACAAAACAGAGCAGAAAACATCAGTTGATCAAACACAAGACATAACAGAAGTTTACAACATAGGGCTGCCGAACCTGCTTCCTCCCACCACAGTTGATGCCATTTCCTAGCCTGGCTTGATGTGAGCACTGAATAGCTGCTTTGTCTAATTACAGCTCACTACCATTCAACTTAAACTACTCTCTTTAAAGTAAGAGTGAGAGCGTTCAGTGTTCATAGCAGCTCGACAGACGACAG